AACAAGAAGCTTCTAGAAACAAGTGCCTTACTAGTAGTAACAAGAAGTCTTCGTTTCAACGAACCGTTTGCATCGATGGGATGTCCTTCGGGGTCGATCCATGGGGCGGAAGAGGGGGGTGTTACATCAACGGTATTCGGATGTATTCGGTATACCCGGTGTTTTTGAGCGTGGCTTGGTTTGGCAGGCGTTTGTGGTGAAGAATATTGAAGAATCAATTCTTTCGCATGTGCAAAACGGCAAGCCAACAGAGAGAAACAGGTGGACACCAAATCTAAGACTCCGCGGTTTGAGACTGCAGAACAGCGGGGGAAAGCATGTGTTTTTTTTTCCTGAACGACAAGTCACACGGGCCTGAGTGCCATTGCATCAATGAAAGCGCCAGGAGTCCGTTTTTCCAATTTGAGATACTTGGAGTTTTGCACCGAGACCGGTGCGGACCTGTGGGTTTGCATCCTGGAGCTCTTGATTCGGGTCCGTCCTTCGGTCCTTTGCTCATGTTGTCGACCGAAACGGAGTTCGCTCCTCCGTCCATGGTCTGAGGCTCTGAAACCATGGTGGATTACTTGCTGGAGCATGGGGCCAAGGCATGTTAGCCGACGACACCGTTGCACCGTGAAGGGCGGCAACGCGTGATGTGATGTGTACTTTGTTCCTTTTTTTCACGAAAGGGATTATTTTCCCTTATCAATACCAAGCAACAGAGCCCTATGCACAGAGTTCCATGGTGCTGCTCTCTTTTGTGCTTGAGTTGGCATCCTCAAGCTTCATAGCTGGGTGATGCTTTGATACAGTAGCACCCAAGTTCAACAGGAGGACTCAGTTGGCGTGTTGTGCCACCGATTGTACCAGCTAAAGTGATGAGAAACATGTTAAGGACAAGTCTTAGTGTAGTCTCCCACAAACCATGGTATCGCGATCATGACCGGTATGACTGACTCTTGGTGTATTATTGTGCAGTTTTAATGTGTTCCATTAATACTTTGATTTGACTGATTGGAAGAGTTGTACTTCAAAATTCCAAATGACGCCCGCCATCAAGAGAAGTATGGCCAGCAAATTTCCTTTGATGCACTTACCATGCATGACCCAACTCAGGAGGTGTAGCATAGAAGTGTAGGTGACGCTGCATGTGGGTCATCACTGCAGGCAGTCAATGTGTTGTTTGGCAATGGACATTTTGAAGCGAAGTTTCATCGGACACAAAGCAGCGGCTTGCAGATGTCCTTGAGCTCGTGGCTAGAAGCCGTTGGGCAGGAAATGGTTTCTGGTTGTACTGTAATATATAAATGAATGTGTGTGTGTGTGTCACAAATGCAGATGTAACTACCATGAACCACGACAAGCCGCCACACAGCGCAAAACTGGTCGCCACCAATGCTGTAAACCACAAGCGACCAGGGATCGCCACAAGGCAGCAAATCAACACTGATTACCACAAAGTCACACCATACCACTTTAAGCGTCATCTCCGGCTCCTTTCTTGAGTCTGCTGTCCAGCTGCTCCAGCTGCAGCAGGGTGAGAAACATATAGATCTGAGTCGTGAGCTCGAGAGCTGCAGAGTCTTTAGGCAATACCTGTATTCCTTGCCTGATCAGCTTCCCAGCCATTTGGCTAATCACAGTAGGTCATGAGTACCGTACCGTGAAACCTGCACATCCAAGAACTGGGTTGCTTACCAGCTTGCACAGGCTGAAGGGCATGCTCATCAGTTCTGGTGGTTTTCATGTTTTTGTGAATTAAACTCGACGATGCCTTGTCAAGAATGGAGCGTCCCGTAATTAGGAAGATAGTATATAATGGTGCCCACTCTTGGTTCTCTTGGTTTGAAGATGACACGGTTAGGGATTCTCCAATCTCCGAACGTAAAAAAGGGCTATATATATAAATTGCTATTAACAATACTATTCAGAGGTCAGAGCCTTTTCCAGCTGCCAAAGAGTGTTTGAAACTGTCAGGTGCATGCCAAAAACAGCCGGAAGAAAAACGTGCTGCATTTGGTCTCGACATCTCGCGTGAATGACCGCCTATCAAAGCATGTTCTTCACTTACGTATCTGGTCTGCAATTTGAGGCTTCGACTGCTTCTGCACATTTGGTGCACTTGACCCTGCGTATCATGTTGCTGTTGTCTTTGCAGCTGTTCTTTTCGTTTCTTCTAGGGACCTGAGCACCTGATGGGAAAAAATGGGCCTCCAGTTTGATGTACAAACGAGTGACACATGGAATTACAACAATTGCTGCTGGTGTTATGGGTGTTGCAGGAGACACAAAGACTGTGCCCCCGTTTATAAGGGGAAGCAACTCTCAGGAACACCACCATTGATTGTGAGGACCCCGTTTACAACAACACCAATATGTATAATATATAGTGAGTGGCTGTCTTAGCTTTTCCCAGACTTCCTAGTGGCTCCAACCCTACACCCAACAGTTTCTGTTGTTACTTGAGACACCCCAGAACACAGATCACAGTCTTCGTTCCGTCCAACGGCACCAAAGCACAAGGTGTTACTGCTTATTAAAGTCTTTGCTTTGTTTGTCCTGAGGGTTGAAAGTGTACAGAGACCCAGATACCCTCAAAGCATGACCGAGACACCACTCAAACATGAACGAGATACCACTAAAACATGACCGAAGCACCACCAAAACATGACCGAAACAACACCGAGAGGCCGCCAAAGGAAAACCGGTACACCACTAAAGCAGACCGACACCACCTAAACATGACCGAGACACCAGCAAAAATTCATGACTGATACACCACCAAAACATCCACCACCCAGACCGGGGGCTGTGGATCTGACGGCGCCCAGCTGCCTAAAGAATGTACAACCAGCCCCAGGCTATCACTGGGGAACCACAATGAACCAGAAAACCAACATGTGATGGAACGAGAGACCTGCACGGACTTGAGGCGATCTTGGCAGAGGCTTCAACAGGTTCACGAGTGAGGCGCTTCGGGACAGCATTTTGTCATGTTGGGTGGGATGGGCCGGTATAGAAAGGGTTTGTTGTCCACCCAGCTGTCTATCAGTCTTTTTCAACAAATCTCGCCACCAACTTCGCACCCCCACGTTTACTTGTGTCTATCAAGAGTTCGTGAGATGTGATGCCCTTCGAAGCGCCAGGGCGAGCGAGAATACATCTCCAGATTGGCGACGACCCAGACACCCCCTCCGGCAACGGCGATCAACTACCACGACCGGGGGGTGATGTCGATCACCATCTGAGTTCGCCTATTCACACAGGTGTGGTCAAACCTGACAAATGGCCTGATAGTATTTCATAATCTGATAATGCATTTGCTGACATGACAGTCTGAGACCGTTGTAGTATGATCCCAAAGTCAGACCAGGTGTAGGTTTGACCGACCCACAACATCACGTTGCATGACTTTGAAACGCCTTTGGTGACCCCGTAGATGTCAAAGTTGCAGCATGTCCGCGAGCCTTATTATTCATGATATTTCGACGCGCTTGGGGTTGTCCAACTACAGGATGTTCAAATTCAATGCATATGCATATCCATTTAGATGCTTGGGTTTCACTCCAATTGAAGGCGATTCAGTCCGGCATTTCTTTGAGTAGCTGAAGTTGGGACCTTGCTTCTATACTACAAAAAACACGACCTGACATGACACATAAATGATTTGTCAATATTTGTCATATTGGTTGACAAAGATGTCTACATGTTGTTCGTCCCACCTCAGCACGGAACTGCTGCAGTGGATCGAAACCGAAAGCGGGTTATTTTGCCAATTTTCTTAGCTGGAACATTATATTTTGTATTTTGGAGTTTGGGTACCTGCCCAACTCCGAAACGCAAAAGAATTGCCGGCTCACTCCTCCACAAAAGTGGTAGCAACAGAACTCGCACCTGTCATTGGCAAAGAATCGACAACTGATTAAGATTCACAGCAAAGCATCATCTACTACCGATGGCCTCCAACCTAATAGCAATGGCCTCCAATCGGCCTCCAACCTAGTAGCATACGATCTAGGCAATAATAGCCAATCTAAAAGGATCAAAGAAACAGATGTTCCTGGCTCAGCATGGGCAGAATGGCAGTGCGAGCATTGGACTTCTTGGAGAGAGATCCGGTGTTTGTACAGAGATGATTTTCCACGGGCGTGTTATGGCTAATTTGTTTCACTCTACTACTACTACCTACAAAGTTGCACTAGAAGGCTGGACCAGTCGGTTCTGAGATTTAGGATGTGTCATGACAAATTACTTAATTTATGGTATTATATAACATTAATTAATCATGTTATTGTTGTCCAGCACACACGGTTTGTCGTAGCCTGCAAAATCACTTTAATAAACTTTAATCCGGAAAGCAGATGGTGTCCAGCTTGGTGGAGCAGCCAGTTTAGCACGAAGCAGCGATCAACGGAGAAGAAAAAATGACAAGTTGCTTCAAGTTGCGGCGTTTGTCCTGGATGTTTGTTGAACGGTTCCCCTTGTCACGCTTGCCTCTAAATAAAGTACTCAACCTCAGGTTTGAGACGGTATCAGACACGTGTTAGGAACAGTTTCGGTTTTTGTTCGGTTCAAACACCGTCAAAACTCATACCTGCGACAGCGGAGAGCTGCTTCCTCTTTGAGTATTGCAAAGGTACACTGCCGCCAATGAGAGATTTTTGCATAGTATGTTTAGTTTATTTTATTGATGGCCCGATCAAAAAGGGTCACTTCAACTATGACATTTCTAAGAGGTGCCCGTGAGCTGCGTGCGCAGGGTTGCAATATCCATCGCCCGCCAGCTGCACACTCCTCCACCAAAGACGGAGTGCTGTGCATTGTGCTTATCTGTGCTTGCATCCCGATGGGAATCAATGGGACATCCATTTCCCCAGCTTCATAGACAAAGCTGCTTTGCTGGTTCCAGGCGCCTTTCCAGGTCTATCGGTTCAATCCTGTCCAGATCTGGTAATCTTGCGCCCACTTGCACCCAGGTCCTGAGATTGGAGCCCTCGAGATCTTTAGGCTGACGTCAGGATGGGTCAAATGTCATTCTTTTAGTGGGTTCTTCAGAGAGTATTCCCCATGTTTCTTCAGAGAGTATTCCTTGCATTTCCAGAAGAAGTGCGCGGGACCCGCGCACGGAGCCCACGACCCGCTGCGGTTCGGTGTAAAGCCACCTTTACAAAGCCACCCTCCTCCGATCTCGGCCTCTGTGGCGGAGGAGTCCATTGGACTGATTTCCATCATGTTGTGAGGAGTGCTTGGACATAGAGCTCTTAGTCGCCAAGGTGATTTAGAGCTTAGTCGATGCTCCACTACCTCCAGTGACTGGGGCTTCAAGTGAGTAAAGGGGCCAGCAAAGGTGGATGGACATGCAAAGAACCTGGAATTAATTGATCGGAACGGTTTACGTCGACGTCCGATGTTTTCAGGTCAGCCAATACCCCGATCCGATCCTGAGGAGCCACAGCCTGGTGGGCCTGTCTTTTTGCGGGTCTTTCAGCATCGTCTGCCACGTTTTGATCCACATGTATCCACATGTCACAAAAAGATGCAAACCTTAACGTTCCTGAGTTGCATTGGCATGTTCGCTACAAGTATATAAGATACCTATTAACTTTTCCTCTATGAAATGGGGGGGGACAACCCCCATGATAAAACAACATATTGGCTAGTGCTTGGGGGGGATACACCCCGGATTTTATAGAGGAGAGGTGGGTGATTTTATAGAGAGTGTTGCGTTACCATGTAAGTGTTTGATATGATGCAGAGAGTTAGAGTGTCTGTGAAAAACATGTTTTTGCGTACATTTCCAAGTTGAAGCCATTTTGGCTGAAATCATGAAGTTGGCAGGCAAGCAACACTGGACACAAACAGTATTACATGAAGAACACCCTATTTTTCAGCGTAATTAAATAATGATTTCAACACGTATGAAACAATCAACATTTATAGAAAAAAAACAATATATATATATATTTACATCCAAGTTGCAGACATCTGAAATGCTTTAGGTGTGTGAATCTTTTGGCAACCAACTTCATACATTGAGGCCCAGGTCAGAAGACACTGTCAGGCCCCACCTCTTTTCTATAAAATGGCATGCCTTGACCCCATCACCATTGCATAAAAAGGTCCACATACCCACCTACTGCCCTGTTGGGCAGGGTAAAGTGCTTGGCTTAATCGGTCCAGGCCACCACAGGTTGTGGATTTACATCCATCTTGCACACATCTGAAATGTTTTAGATGTGTGAACCTTTGGGAGTAGGTGGGTATGTGGGCCTTTGTATAGAATGGTGAGGGGATCAAGGCATGCGTTTTTATAGAGAAGGTGGGGCTGGGGCCCCACTATTGGCTCACTCCACTTGAGGGGGTCTAGTGAGATTGGCTGTCCATGAGATTTGCTGCCCAAGAGGGATAGATGGCAAAAGACTCGTGCAGACTTGGGGATGTTGCCAAAAAGAAACGAGATCAGATGTACGCTCTTTTGAGACTTTTGTGATCAGTTTTTGCATGCTGCCTAAACTCGAACACCGCCTAAAATTGAACACCTTCTCATTTTATAGAGACCTTCCTTGTTCATAATGCAAGCATGCATACTATTAAAGCCTCATTTCTGACGTCACAGCTTCTCAATTTATATAAATCTTTGTTAGGTCTGGCCTTGTGATTTTATATACAAAAAAAGTTCCCCAGGGGGGGTCACCCACACCAAATTGTGTCCATAAAATCTCTGGCAAGACCCCGCCCTAGGAAAGTTTTAATGGGTATCAAGTAAGTGTCAATCAAGGAGTGCCAGAGCAGTTCTCTCACAGTGGTTTCACCCATTCCACCAATCGTCATCGTCGAGCACATCATGGGTTCCTACCTTCCCAGAATAAAGAGGCTTTGACCGACCACACTCCGATGGGGACGTTGTATGGATTCTCCATGGGTTCTCCTTAAAGAAAACCTTGTACACGTGGAACATGAACGACCCTGTCATTGACAATTGTGCCTAAGATTCACGTTCATAACTTGTTTCATGTGTTCGCCTGGCACAGTTTATGTCCTCGCAGTTTTACAGTGTTGCTTGCTCTAAAGACTCAGAGTCTGAAGTTAAGCACGTTGTCAAATTGGTTCTTGGCGTTTGTCGGTGCAAAATGCAGCTGACATTGCAATTGTTCAATTACAAGTATATATGTCTATGTTAATCAAAAAATCAAGATAATATGACTAAAGTTTCACAGCAACGCTGTTGCCGGAACCCTTTTCGCAATGTGACCGTGAAATGAACATCCTTTCTTTTCCAGAGGACTTGGGGATGTCGACCTGGAAGAAGGCCGTGCAGAATGGAAGGGTGAAGGGTTGGGCCGTGGTGCTTGGTCTCCGGATTGATGCGTTTGTTTTTTTTGTTCGCCCAGCCGCACCACGCCGCACTGGGCGTAACAACGAACTTGCAACATGATGCACCCACCGTTCGGTTCTATCGCTGGATTTAGGGGGTGGGTGAGGTTATGTGGCAAGATTCATTTATACGTCCTTTATTTGACCTACATGTGTGCATTGTTTCGGAAGTGCCGGTCAAAAGGGATCAAATGAGCCTATATACCAAGAATATCCAAGAATTGGTATTTGGTACCCTCCCTTTTTGGTGTTTACTCCTTCGTGGATATGCGTGGGAAGTCAAAATGTGGGAAGAGGGCATCAGACAGGCACTGCAACTGCAAGACTTGGAAGATTTTATGGTTTCTTAAGAATCACTGTGTCGACTGTTTTTTCCTTCTCGGCCACCGGTGACGTTTCCCCACTATGGTGGGCAACGCGACCTGCACGAGGTGGACTTTTCCAGCTGAGGTCTGGGACCGTCCGAAGGGTCTGATCCCGGATGTCGGCGACTGGATCCTCCACTTTGTTGATGATGTTTGATGCATGTTTTGTGTTTTTTTCTAGTTTGTGTTTTACATTGTTTTGCTGATTTTGATGGTCTTGCCACTTGTCTTGTTGGTCATTTTTTGAGAATTGGTGACCTGGTCGAATTTGAAGCTGGACAAAATTCCACACGTCTTCATGGTATTAGCCTGGTTAAGTTTGTTCTTGAATGGCAAGACTTGACAAACCCCAGCGTGAGGCGTGAGGGCATGGCTTTAGATACTTTAGATTGCAGTGTCAGGTGATGCAGTGATGCAGGAGTTTTGTCCAGCAGCAGTATCATTCATGATGCAAAATATGTTGGGTGAGCTATTCCAAACATTTCCAGGGATGTTGCGGCAAAGGGGTGATGGCAGCGTCGACAGCTAGTTTCCGAGTATGTATGTTGCCACATGAATT